CTGTGCATGGAGGAAAGTCTCAAGGCCAAGGGAATTCAAAGGGCAGTATCTTCAAGAACATTTCTTGAGATACTCAGACTACAGAATGCTGTATAAGAATTCAGTATGGAATGTATAGGATTCTGTAGTAAATCCTTACCTTGATCACTGTCCTCTGAGACGAGCTCTGCACTGTGTGGTGTATGTTCTCACCAGTGCTGGCCAGGGTCCATCTGCTGATTCAGGAACAGAGATGTTGCTCTGGAGGTATCCGCCCACCACAGCTTTTCATCAAGGGTGGCAAGCACCCAGATAAGCTCTCATGCAGATTGATAAAAAGTGCAAGAGCCTTCCTCTGGTGACATACAAGAGGTTTCAGAGACCCGCGTAAGTCAACCCTACACTTTAAAAGCTCTTTATTTTAAGATACAGGATTTTTTTTATATATATATATATACACATTAAAAAAATAAGCATTTGAAGGTGTAGTTATTTTTAGTAAATAAGTAGCAATCAGTATGTACAGTATCAGAACTATAAAAACAGCTGATCCAGCTTCTGTTGAGAGCTATAGCAAAGCATTTGTTATTTCAATGGGAGCAGAATCATGCTCTTATTAAGCATTTCTTGCCTTTTGTTTGGTTTTAATAATGTCTATTTACGTGTTCTTTTATTCTCCATTCTTTTATTTCAGTCAACTGGAATTCATCAGATGCTTTGCTCATACTGGATAGAGGATCCAGTGCAGATAGTGTTCTCTATACTCAGATTTCCCTGTAATTATTTTTTCTCTGTCTACAGCCTGGAACTAGACCAAAACTGCCAATTTGACTTCACAGCAGTCTATGATGGCCTCACCACTAACACTGGCTTAATAGGAAAAGTATGTGGTCGTGCTCAGCCCACATTTGAATCTTCTTCAAATGTTATGACAGTGGTGTTGTCTACAGACTATGCCAACTCCTACAGAGGATTTTCTGCTCAGTATACCAGCACTCCGCTGCCAGGTCCTGTGGAGCCCAACAGTAAGTACACTTGCTAGATGAATAAGATGCTGTTTCTTATTCTTACATATGATTCTTCCCTTATAAATATCGAAAAGAACTGATGGTTGAAGAGTTAAGCCTTTTTATTGGTAGTCATTAACCCTCCTTACATACAAAAATCCCACATTAGTCTCACCTATAGAGCCTAAGTTATTACCTGACCCATCTGCGAAAGAAAGCCTGTTCTTTCACTTTTTGGTCCTTTTTCTGGCCAGCACCACTGAAAATCTGGATTTTTCCTTCTTTGGACAAAGCAGGCATTGTTACCATCCTAGAGGTGTAAAGATAAAACTTTTTCTGACTGGTTAGTTTAAATGTTTTTGTTCCCCGAGATACCAGTGCAGACCATTTTCCTGAGTCAGTCAAACAGGGTTTAGGTGTGTTGTAATTTCCTCTCCCCCAGAGCTGGACCATTTTCCTTACTGGTTCCACACATTTGCATGCCCATCTTCTCATTAACTGAGGAAAAGGAGCCTCTAAAGCCTCGATGTCTGACATAAATCGATTTCCTCACCCACTATTCTACACTAGCACTTTGATTCTTTTTCCCTTTTATAAAGGCTGCAATTCATTCTGTTACTGGGTTTAAAATTAAACTTTCAGCATGAGTTTTACATGGTATTGCTTATCTAACATTTTTTTAAGTTGAGCATGAAATTTTGTTCTGGCTTCTGCATGACCTCAAATGCACATGAGCTGTTTTAGACTGACAAATCAAGAACCATGCAACAGGTTCAAGGATCTAGACCAACTGAGAAGTGACCGCAGCACAGTTTGTGGTAACGTTTCTTGTTCTGTTTTTTTTTTTTTTTAAATTTCTCTTTCAATGGCAGCATTCCTTACATGCTCTTCAGATAGAATGAAAATTGTTCTCAGCAAGTCGTATCTGGCTTCCCTTGGTTATAATGAAACTCACCTACAGCTGAATGATCCATCTTGCCATCCAGTTGTAACAGCCTCAGTGATCTTTTCCTTCCCATTAGCCAGCTGTGGAACAACTAAAAAGGTAAAGGGGGGGAAAATTTATGTGAAGCTAACAATAGCTTATGAATGACAAGAGCTTGTAAGAGCAGCTTATGAATAGCACGTGAACAAGCTAACAGCAGATTTACTTTCACTTAGCTCATCTAATTGCATGTTTCCAGTTTTGAAGCAGAAAGAACATTTTTCCTCTTTAAGAACCTGATGATCAATGAGCCTTTCAAAGGAAGTCCAGGAGAATCCACACAAATTAACCCCAAATGTTTCATTCCCTCTCCAACCCAGGTTATCAGAAGTAGCACGTTAGGTATGTAACTTAAACATGCTCTGCAAGTGATACAGCTGGCACTTATCCTGGAGTCACAAGGAAAAGGGAAAAACCCTACAATGTGAAGATTCCCAAGAGCTAGTTCATAGCATTGTTTTGATAAGGGTGACTGAAGCATAGCTTTGGTACTTTCCACGCTCCATGCGGTATTCCTTAACATTTTTGCTGCATGGGTTGGTTCAGTGTTTTGAAAAAACAGGAGGAGTGTTGATAATGGTTTTTTGTTTGCAACCTGTTTCACATTTCAAAGGTATCTTGAGCCTCTGATAAGCATAGCTCGGCAGCTTTGTAACTTTAGTACAATTGTTTTCAACTGCACTGCTCATTTAATCACAACTGAGCCCTTCACATGATTCTTTTTTACAGGATGATGGTCAGAGCATCACTTACACCAACATCATCTCTCTCTCTGCAACTGGCGGCATTATCACGCGTCAAAAGAGCATACAGATTATTGCAAAATGCAAAATGGAAAACAATTCAACCGTAGAAGCCATTTACATAACGAAAAATAATATAATCCAAAACACAACCAGTGTGGGAAGATACAATGTTAGCATATCATTCTATGATTCAGATTCATTCTCCAAGCCTGTACTTCAGTCCCCATATTATGTAGACTTGAACCAAACTCTTTTTGCTCAAGTCAGTCTTCATTCCAGCGACCCAAATCTTTTGGTCTTTGTTGATACCTGTATAGCATCTCCACAACCTGATTTTGGATCACTAACATATGACTTAATCAGAAGTGGGTAAGACCCTAAATTATTTTATGAGTGTCTCCTAATATGTGAGGAAATATAACCTAAATGTCAACCATAGTTCTTTTGCTTTTGTCTCTCTTCCACTTATCTTCTTTAGTCGACAGTGGTATGGAAGCATAAGTTTCACAGAAATTTAAAGGCGTTACATGAACAGAGCTAGGAAAAACAAGCAATACACTGCACTGGGAAGAGGGAAAAAGAGCACATCATTGTACACCCACATGTAAAAATAATGCCCTAGTTAAACACTGTGGTTAGTTAACAGTAGTTAGCAAGAATGATTATTTTATATGGACTACTTTAACAGATCTGTAAATTCTGTTGCAGCTGCAATAAAGATGACACTGTGGTAACCTACCCACCACTTGAACACTATGGAAGATTCAAATTTAATGCCTTCAGGTTCCTGCAAAGCTTTCCATCAGTTTATCTCCAGTGTGATATTTTAATTTGTGACAGCAACAACGCAAACTCTCGCTGTACCGAAGGCTGTATCTCCAGGCAAAAAAGAGCTATTTCTTCATACATGTGGAAAACTAATACCGTAGTAGGTCCCATCCGCCTGAAAAGAGATCTCAGGTCTGCTGATCACTCAGGTAAGAGGAATACGTAAATTAAGCACCTGATTAAGCTCCTCCTTGGTGTAAATCCATTACCTTCGTTCCACTAACGAAATAAGTGAATTACACTAGTTCAGAACTAACATGGCATCAGAGCAACAAGGTTCAACAGAAGTTTGTGTTTTGTGAGATCACAGATATATTTTTCAAACAGACAGACCGATGGCCTTTTGTATTAAGGTGTGTTCTTCGAAGTAGAAAAAGGAGCACTCACTCCTAGTTACAAAACTAGTGTATGCAGGATCCGACTATGTATTTAGAAAAAGTTATGAAAGGCAAGAGACTTCAGATTTTCAAATGTGACTTTTTTGATGAAGCATACCAGGGCTCATTTCGCAAAGCCACAGACTACTTAAAAAGCACATTCCAAATCATAGTCAAGCTTTGTTATAACCTGTGTATCTTCTAACAGTCCACTCAGTTTCACTCAGTTTTATTTGTTGGTACTACAGAAAAGCTATGCCAGATGATAAACATAGATGACTTACTCCATGCTAGGTTAAATCCTCACACTGTATGTATTGCCTATTAGAACAAAAATATGAAGAGGACAGCCACTGGAGCAGAAATCAAAAGCACCATTCTTTTAACTTAGAGCTGCAAAGCTGTTTATAAGACAACTAAGCTTTAGTGCCCCAATCTGACACATTCTTTAGCACAATTTGCAGTCTGCTCTCCAGTGGTCTAGATGAGTACTGAGCGCTAATGTAGAACAGACTGCAAAATATGGAAAAGCAATTTTAAAGGGCTTGTATTGTAATGCCCACTACACCCATTGTTCTAACTTTTATTGAGCACAAAGCTTCACCTGAGGCACATTGTGCCACATGCTTCCAGGTGTCAGATCTAAGAAGTATTTAGCATTAATCATGCTCTTAATAGTGATAAACGTTTTCTTCCTTTTTAAAATAATTGTTAACCTCTTTGAGCTCTAGCAGCATTTTAAACATGTTCCCATTTATTTCAATAGTGAAAGATTTTGCATCCATATGCTAGAAACTGGACACATCTATAATGTGAAAAGGATTCAAGTGCAAATAGATCACACTCAAAGTATTATAAAACATAGATTAATTCTCACAGTACCTTTCACAATTTACAGAAAAAGAGTTTTACCAAGGACCAGCTAGTAAACTATTAGAAGGGACAGGGTTAGAACCACGAGTTTCTTTTTTGCCCAGCTTTGCTTCAGCAATACGTCTCCTATCTATCCGGTTCTAAAGGTAATGACAGCACTGCTTGGCAGAAACTTGGCTGCAGCAATGCCAAAGAATGTTAACATTGCGATGCTCTTCTGCAGAATTGTTTTATTACAAATTTTTACAACTCGTCGGCACTACAGATTCAGAATTTGCAATCGGTATGGGTCAACTCCTCAGAACCAAAATATCTGCAAAAATGCTTATTTAATTTTAACTGAAATGACGTGGTATTCAAAACTTTAAGCATCCCACTTTCTTTTTTCTCTACACAGAATCCCTTGCTAAAGCAGATGCTGAAGAAACCCCAAACCTGCAACAATACAGTTTCTACACTCTGTCGTTTGTGGTTTTGGTTTCAAATATTATCATTGTGGTAGCTGTGATACTAAAATATCACATCAAATGCCAAGCGGGATATGGCTACCAAAAAATCCAGAGCTCACATTAACTACTTCAGGATATTTTGAATTTGTGTTAACTTCTATTCAGATTTGTCACCCAAAGAGGAGAGAGAGAAAAAACCCAAACCAGGCAAAAATCAATAAACTAACAGCCTTGGAATACAACAATGCTTGGAAACATATTTTAACTTTTTTTGTTATTAAAAAAATCTCTCAACCTAGCACTGTATCTTAAATCACTGAGTTGAAAAACAATATGAGTGTCTACCTCAGGGTGTTTCTTAGAAAGCATCAAAAAAACTAACTTTACAGGTATAAAGTGACTTGTAAAGTACAAGATAATTTAGGTCCTTTTTTCTTCTTCTTAAAAAGAAAAATCTTTTTAACTTTTCAAATCACTTCGAAACTGCACCTGGCATGAGTTAAGCTGAGGGACAACTGCGAGATGTCTGTTCAAAGCAAATTATCCTCTCTTCAAAATCTACTCCTGTGGGTTGCTACCATCAAGATCTGACAGTCTTCAAAAGACATCGGTTTTCCTGGAGAAGAAGAAAATACTAGGTAGACTAATAAAGATACTGGATTGTACTTGCCTATGCTGCTTGTTCAATCAACGCTTGCTTCCCCATCAATAGCTTTTGCTCAACACATTTTAAGACATCGAATACAACCAATGTCTGCGCACCCAACTTAGGAGTTTACCATTAAGTCCCTATACAGTCCAAGTTAAAAGGTACACCCCAGAATTCAAAGAGCAATAAACAGAATGAAGTATGAAGCTTGACCTTCCACAAAAGAGGGACTTCGAGTCACATTTCTACCTCCCCACATGACAGCAGAACTGATCCCAACAGGTTAAAGTAAATATGATGCAATAAGGCTACTTCTCTGGCCTAAGGTTGGTGAAATGCAGCAGATCCTACCCCAGCACATTCTACCTGGCAACGAGGTTCCCCTTGAGAAGAACCACGAATGAAGTACTTACATTTCTTAGGATAATGAAACATGGCTAAATACAAGTCTGCTAAGTATACATTCATTTCAGTTGTTCCTGCATGGCTCAATTAATTTAGGAGGGGAAAGTATAATGACAGTCTTGTTTTAGATATCACTTAAGGAGCCTAGATTCCTAACTTAGGTGCCTGTACAACCAAAGAACCCAGGCTGGGGTTCAAGTTAGCCTGTCTCTCCAAACCTGACTGCTTAAACAGTTTAAGTTAGGCAATGCCAGTACTATCCTTCCTTTTATAGATGGAGTAACAAACC